ATATTGTATTATTATGCAAAAAAAGAAGAAATGAAAAGGGGACCATTATAACAAATACTACTGAAAGTTAGAGGATTACTGAAAAGATGGGCCCTTTAACAAATTGTGCTGGGACAATGGATATCCTTATGTAGAAGATTGAAACCAGATTCCTATATCTCACCCTGTATAAAAATAAATTCAAAATATTCTATGCAAATAAAAGTCAAAAGCAAGCAGGAATAACTCATAGTTAACAAAGTAGATTTAAAGACAAAACTAGTCAGATGAGACAAAGAAGGCCATGCTATATTAGTAAAGGGAGTCAGCAGTGACTCCATGCACACCAAAGAGCACAAGCCTTGAAAGCCTCTGGAGAGGACACAGCCATGAGGTAAACAACACACCACACAATGGCCCCGCCCAACAGGAAAAGTAGGCAGTACTCTACAAGAAGATATAACTGGGGCACTTCACAAGGCCCACAAGCCACAAAACTATTTGGAGTCAGCAGTGAAGACTCCAAGAAGATATAACTGTTATAAAGAAGATATAACTGTTATAAATATATATAGTAGTCCAAGAGCTGAAGAAGAAGATATAACTGTTATAAATACATATACCAAGAAGATATAACTATTATAAATACAAGATTAACTGTTATAAATACATATATACTGAACATGGATGTGCCCAAATTTATAGGAAAACACTATTCAACATAGATGCATATATTCCAGTAAAATAGTAGCGGGTTAATACTTACTCTTACCGGATAGTTGAGAAAAATTATTCAGATAAAAGAATGCACAGAGAAGTGTCAGAGTTAATTACACCATAAATGGGCTCAACAGGTGTTTATAGGACATTCCATCCAACAGCTACATAATACATATCCTTTTCAGTAGCTCATTGAATGATCTTCCAAATGGGTCATATTTAGGACTATGAACCAAGCCTTAACAAATATAATAAAATTAAAATAATTTCCTATATCTTATCAAATCATAATGGAATGAAACTAGAAAAGAAGCCATAGAAACTGTACAGATACATGGAGTTTAAACAATACCCCTTCACCAAAGAACAAAATAAAGACAAAAAGGCAAATAGAAATGAAATCAGAAAATTCTTCTGCATTGAAGTGTTTGGGTGACGGTTTCTTTCCAGGGCTTATAGTATTGGAATCCATCAGAATCAGGAGAGGAAGAGTAAGTTGCAATCAGGCTCTGTGATGTTTCCACCTTTGCTGTGTGAATGTAGAGTCCTGCCTACTTTTCCTGTTGGGCGGGGCCATTGTGTGGTGTGTTGTTTACCTCATGGCTGTGTGAGACACAGTCTTACTATGTAGTGCAGGCTGGCCTTAAACTCACTTATATAACCCAGGCTGGCCTTGAACTCCTGGCGATCCTCCAGCTTTAGCCTTCTGAGTACTGGGATTACAGGTGTGCACCACCATGTGTTTTGTTTGAGATAGGGTCTTGTTGTGTAGCCCAGGCTGGCATTGAAGCAGTCTTTTTCTCTATTCACCTAATGAAAGGCATCTTGAATGCTTCCAAGTTTTGGCAACTATGAATAAGGCTTCTGTAAATATTCATGTGCAGGTTTTTGTATGAATGCCAGTTTTCAAGTTTTTTGGGTAAATGTTAAGGAACATAAAATGGTTGGATTATGATAACATTATGTTTAGTTTTGTGAAAAAGGGAAAAGAGGATAATGGGAGGGGAAGGAAAATGGAAAAAATAATCAAGATATATAATGTACAGGTACAAGTTTCTTATGATGAATGTGATCACTATGTGCACCTAAAATATTCCAATAAAATGAATTAATTTTAAAAAATTTAAAAATGTTTAGTTTTTAAGGAATTACCATGCTGTCTTCCAAAGTGACTGTAGCATTCTACATTCCCAGTGGTAGCTAGAGAGACTTCCTGTTGCTCCATGTCCTTGTCAGCACTTGGTGTTGTCAGTGTTGTGGAATTTGGGCATTCTAACAGGTGTGTAGTGGTGTCTCCTTGTTTAAATGTGCGTTTCCCTGAGACCTATGATATCGAATGTCTTTTCATGTGCTTTTCCTCTTTATTGAGTGGTTTCTGTTCATTTTTGCCTATGTTTTTTAGTTGTTACTTATTGTTGAATTTTAAGTTGTTTATTTACTAGTTCTTTATGAGATACATCTTGTGAATAAGCCTGTGGCTTATCTTCTCATTCCCTTGACAGTGTCTTCACAGAGCAGAAGCTTTTAATTTTAATAAATTTCAATATCAGTTCTTTCTTTTCTTTTTTGGTCTTAAGGACAGTCTCACTAATGGCTCAGCCTGTTGAATGCTGGGATTACAAAAGTGCACCATCATGCTGGATAGTTATTTATCAGCTGTGCTTTTGGTGTTGTATCTAACAGTGATCATTACCATAATGAATATTAATTAAGTTTTCTCCTATGACATTTTATATAAGTTTGTTTTGCTGGGTGTGGTAGTGTGTGTCTAATCCCAACACTCAGGAGGCTGAGATAGGAGGGTTGCTTTGAGTTCCACTGAGGTACAAAGGGATTTCAAGGCCAGCCTAAACTGTATCACTCTCTCAAAAATCAAACCAAAGCAAAACAACCCAAGAAGTTTGTTTTACCCTTTATATTTGGGTCTTTGACCCAAGTTAATTTTTGTGGCACACATAAGTCTGTGTCTAAGTTCATTTCTTTGTATGTGGACATCCAGTAATAGTTTGTTCCAGTACTGTTTCTTGGAACATCTAACTGCAGGCTGTGGGATATGCCTGTACTTTAAGGCTGAGACAGGAGGACAGCAAGCTAGAAGCCAATTGGGCAACTTAATGAGACTCTAAAGAGGACTAGGGATATAGCTCAGTGTAACAGCACTTGCCTCACATGTGGGCAGCCCTGTATTCAATTCCCAGTATGTCTTTTTTAAAAAAGTTTTTTTTTTAAATTTTTAATTTTTTTTTTTATTAAGATGCTTTGCTCCTTTGTTAAGAGTAGTTGAGAACCAGGAGTGGTGGCACAGTTTTGTAATCATAGCACTCAGGAGGCTGAGGCAGGAGGATTGGTGTGAGTTTGAGGCCAGTCTGGGTGACATAGTGAGTTTAAGGCCAGCCTGGGCTACACAGTGAGATCCGGTCTCAAAAACAAAACAAACAAGATTAGTTGAGATATTTCTTTGGCACTTTGGTCTCTGCTGTTTTGTGATCTCTACATCTATACCAGTATCACAGTCTTGATTCCTGTAGCTCCACAAAGTGTCTTGGTACTGGGAGGCGTCCCTCCTCTGACTTTGTTTTCCTCCTTCGATATTGTGCTAGATCATATATATATATATATAT